CTGGTTGCTATGGTAACGACGAACTGTCTGGCACCAACGTAAGGGGACTACTGGCTAGTGTGTCTTTGGTCAGCTAGAACAACTGACCTATAGCCAACTTTGTTCATGCTCCCTCAAGGACCCCCACCTCCAATACCCCCCCCACCTCCCCACCCCTCCCCACCCCCACTCAGCCCTGGGGCCCAGAAAAAGGTTCATTGTGCAGGCAGGGAGCGAGGCAAGCGAGGCCTGGTTCTGGTTAGCTGCGCTGCATCTGAAACACTCACCTTCCTCCAGGGGTTGCATCTGGAGCTGGTTTCCTGTTCAGGCTGCGCTGGGCAGGGGCGGAGCTTGGCCCGGCTCTTTGATTGGGCGAGACTGAGCCTTTATGGACCCCGGGATGGTTGGGATTGCCAGACAGTAATCTGTCAATCACTGGCATACAGATTCAAACCAGAACATAAATGCGAGAGAGAGAGTTTATGATTGGTGCAAAGGCCTGAGCCAGAAGCCAGGGATGCTTCAGTCTTATACCAATAATCCAGCTGCAAATTTAGCATCAGCCAATCAGATGATCTTATTCCTGGAACAAAGACGGTGTATGTTCTATATTTTTATCCAAAGTCAGTTTGTCTTTGGAAAATATTGTGTCACGATAAGAAACTCTCAAGTCATTTAAAGTAATGGCTTTATTTGAGTAATTGCAAGATCTAAAATTAGGATTGTTTTGACAGAGTAATGCCATTGTTATTCTATAATTGTGTGTAATAGTCACATTAGGGCATGGCAGCAGGACCGGTGCGTTCAGTAATGGTGTGTAATAATAACGTTAGCTTCCTGTTATTACGGCAGTAGTGCTGTAGTTAAGGCCACAAGCACTGCCTCTAAAAACGCACTGTTTTTAGAGTGGACCCTGAACGCCACGTGAATTCAGCAGCATTTTTTTTAGAGTCTGTCATTGAGAGTGTTTTTATAGGGTTTCCTGGGGAAAAGCTAGATGAGGTTTTAGAAAGCAGTGAAAAAAAAAAAAAATCTTTAATATCCCCTAAAGTTTACTTAAATTAAATTCCACAAGTAACAGTAAAATGTTTCTGAATGGCTCCTTTAACCTGTAAACCTGTATTTAAATGTTGTAGCTGCTCCAAATGGCTCAAAGTCTGACTACTCAGTTTATTGTTGGGTAGTTAAAACTGCTTCTTTTTTTTTTTTTTTTTTTTTAAATCTTAGCTTATGTCCACTTAAATAAAACACACAATATCTGAGTGTAATGCCCTGATTGTGTTCTCCTAAGTGCCGTGGAAAGCGTGCTGTATTCCGCTCCATGCCATTCCCAAAGGTGCACAGTCCACCACCTTTCCAGTGAGCCTGTGTGCCAGCGCCATGAGTCGGGCATTGTTGGGTTTAGCTCCAGAGCTGGAAAGAGTTTTAGTCAGTCTTCCCACTCAGCTTCACTCAGCTCAGCCTCAGTTCTGTACCAAAGACCTCCATTTCCTGCTCTGGCGCCACGGCGTGCAGCTGACAGCAGCTTTCATGGATCTCCTGAAGGGACCCAGTTATAAATGCATGCTTCCTCTCACATGTGAAAATATATACACAAACAGTACACAGCGCACAGTTTACAATACACACACGGTGAAGGAAGGTGCACTGGTGCATTCGTGCAACGGTGAAGGATAAAGGAGCCATTAACTTAAAAAAAAAAAGAGAGAGTTGCAGGTTCATTCAAAAATATTTTTCTCAGTGGATGAATTAATAAATTTACCAACAATTTTCCAGTCATAGAAAATATTAAAATAAAGAAGTAAAAGTAAAAATAACGTGAACAACCTTGATAGCGACCAGTGGACCAGCAGCTTTTCTAGGCCAGTGGTCAGGGCCGCCTCCTTCAGGGCTCCTTAAATAAATCTGGTGTCATGAGATGAAAATAAATTGTATATTGCATTACAATTACAAAATTATTGTTTATTTTTTCTGATGTTTCTCTGTGTTTAGCTTCTTTTTTTTCCCGTTTTTCTTGAGAAGTCTTGGACACTTGCGTCGTGTCAACACAGGAAATGTTTCAGCTGCGTCTTTTCACGCGTTTCGTGACAGAACAGATACGCTGCTGTTTTATGATCCGTCATGTTGTCTACACACCGCTTGCATCGTACTCACACCATTTGCCCCTTAAAACGCAACACTCGAGTCTTATTTTCTGCACGTAAACACGGTGATCGTGCATCGGGCTCTGAGTGCTTCCAAAACACGGACGACCTGCTGCTCAGTGTGGTGCCTGAACGCCTCCTGACAGCACAAACATGGAGCACCAGCTGCTGCGGCTGCTCCTCATCCCTCCACGAACCCCTCAGCTCAAACATGTCTAAGAGCAGAAAACTTGATCTGCGCTTGAAACGTCACAAGCCACATCTGAGTCACTTTAAACTGTATACTCAACTAAAATCTGTTATCTCTTCTAACGATAAGATGTTTAGTGATTTTCTAACAAGCTGCATCTAACTATTCAAATATCAAGATGCTTTTGATGATTATAAATGATTACAGGCATGTTTGTGCTTTTAATGAATACTTTATACTTTATAATACAGTGTAAGAAAGCAGCTGTAGCCATTTATTATGTCTGTTTATTGTTTCTAGGTTACGCCACGTCACGTCACGTCTAGGTGGTGCGAGAGGTCGCACGGTAGATAACGCCAGTCATGACCGCGTATTTCACCTTTGCAATAATAATAAAAAATTAAAACAAATACTGTTGACCGAATACTTTGATAAATGGAAGGATTGTCTGACAGTAAACACGTCCTGGATCTCAATTCCTGAGACTAAGGTCTCCTGCCGCAATATAAAACTGTTTAACTTCGATCAAACCACAACACCTCTTTACTATCTGGCAGCCATGTTGACCAGCCAAGTAAAAGAAGATCATGGCGAAGGACAAAAGACAGGAAGTGGAGGTGTATAAACTGCTCTGAGGCCCAGGTGGAAACAGTAGTTGAGGTTTGAGTGAAGTACGTCTTGATAAATGATGTGGAAGCCCCCGTGGCTCCTCTTTCAGCTCCTCCTCTCCGACCACTGACCCGTGCTGAGAGCTGATGACGCCAAGCTTTACATGGCAGCGGCTTTACTTTGGTTAAAATGAAAATGTAGTTTCTTGACAGTGGGCACGCTTCTCTGAGACGCTGCAGGATCATATGAACGTCCTCCTGGACGTGTTCAGACAGACGTGTAGGAGTGGAATCGTTCTGAAGTGAGAGTTGAAAGAAAACGTTTTGAAGCCGTTTGCGTTTCAATCATAAACTCTTGATGTTCTTTGTCTCTCTCTCTCTCTCTCTCTCTCTCTCTCTCTCTCCTCACCGCCGTCCACCAGCAGCATGAACGAGGGAAAGATCCCAAAACATTGTTTGGCAGTTTGAATGAGTGCAACTTGGAGAGGTATTTGATTTCACAATGTTTAAGAAGAAAAATGTGTGGTGAAATTATGTTTGAGCAGTCGGGGGGGGGGGGGGGTTTGGCCGGGGTCTGAGTCAGGGAGGAGGCTCTGTTGGAGGGAGCAGTCCAGCAGGAGAGTGTGTTCCTCTGATACCTTGCATGTAAGGAAGGATGTGACTGATGCCTCCCTCCTTACCTTTATGTGAAGATGAACTCGCAGCGTTTTCCTTCACGAGGGACAGTCTGACAGCTCTGTGGCTTTGGGGTCTGATTGCATTACGTCTTTGGCTCAGTCGAGAGTTCTTCTGGGTCGGATACAGGATACCCCCCCCCCACCCCCCCAGTGGGCCGGCCACAAGCTCCAAAGCCCCTCGTTCTCAGAGCCTGTTTGTCTTGGTGAGAGGAACACGAAGCTCCTTCCAGAGGAATCCCTCGTTAAAATGAAATATATCCACGGGGCGTTTTGTAGCTCCATCTGACACAAACATACAGTCCTCTGTCAACAATCATTCCCTTTTATACTGTCATCTCCACCTTAATGCCTCTTGTAATATCTCTGTCTGTTTCTCGACTTCTTTTCTTCCCCCGCTCTGTTTCTCTCTCTCTCTCTCTCTCTCTCTCTCTCCGCCCCTCTGTGACCTCGTTGCCTCCATTTTCCCCCTTTCAGCCCCAATTTTTCATTAGATTTTTTTTTTTATGCTGTTCATCGGACAGATTAGCTCCACACCCTTGTTTTATAGGTCTATGAGCTCACCCTTGTTGTAAGAGTGGCCAGTGTTTCTGCGAACGGCCCCGTGATCCACAGCGAGTCGGACCGCAGCGCAGAAATCGTGAGGGACTATTCAGAGCTGCTCAGACGGGCTCATTAAAACAGGTCACTGCACCTAAACATCGCCCCACATGTCGGTTACTGTGTGTGTGTGTGTGTGTGTGTGTGTGAGATAGATACAGAGAAAACACAGTTCAGTGCCCATTGCAAATTCCAACAAAAGAATGAAACAAAATGACCTCAGCCACTTGAAAAGCTGTAAAATTAGCGAATGGAACGATGAGCTCACTCACACTGGTGCTTGTAATTCAAACACTTACAGTATTTTTTTATTTTTTTTTTATATAACACAGACGAGGAAGCCAACTAATAAGAATGTAACCTAGTGATCAGGTAACATTAAATGATGTAAATACTCTGCATCATTTTCTTTCTTCGGCTTTCAGTCGCCTCCCACTGAGGAGCAGAAACCAGCCCCCCCCCCCCTCCATTGGATCAATGAGGTTATGTAATACTGTATCTTAAGCTAGAAAAGATAAGATACTCTCTTGGCAGCTGTTCTTGACGTTTGTGGACTAATGTAATATTTATGTTGCTGCCCTTTGGTACTCGCCAGGAATGACTGACTTTCACTTGGATTCGCTGCTTCATTTGTGTTTGTGTTTCTGTACAACAAAAATATTCAGTAAAAACATCTTGATAAGTGTTTGTGCTAAACTAAGCTAAGCTAAGCGGCTGCTGGCTCCGTATGTGCTGCACAGACATGAGAGGGGTGTTGACGTTAACCGCCTGTTCTTCTTCTACATGTTCTGTGTCTGTGTCACAGGCTCTTGGAGACTCTGATTTCCTGACTGTGCTGAAGCAGCTGCTGCCCCTGATGAAGCCCCGCGGGGGCGGGGACGGCTCGGCCTCCAGGTCCAGAGAGGATGAGTGCGGCCCCGATGAGCTGATCCTCCTGCTGGTCTACCTGTACTCCCTGGCCGACGAGGCGCAGCCTGCACACCCCAACGCGGAGGAAGACGAGGAGGAGGAGCTGGAGAAGCTGGAGAGGGAGCTGATAGGAGCGCTCACCTTCGTCATCACCCGAGAGACGGAGCTCAGCCCCTTGCTCCAGAAACTCACCGGTAAGAGAGGATCAGTGCAATCACAGCATGGTGATTACTTCCTGCAGCATCTTCGCTTTGCTGCTGGTGTCAGAGGAAGTGGGAACAGCACAATGTTTATTTCCTCTCTCTACTGTTTCTATCAAAGTCTTCACACCTTGCTCTTCTTGTCTCACACCTTCTTCATGCACACACACACACACACACACACACCTACACACACGTTTCCTGGTCAGTTTGGCAAGCGGCTCCTCAGATAGTCGAGCGTGGGAATGTTTGAACTTTTCCATCTGGACGAGTGTGAGAGAGGGATTACCCGTCACGTGACTCTGCACAGCCGCTCTGCAGTGACTTTAAGTTTTACCTAAAAAGAAGAAGAGGTTTTTATTTGTGGTGAATTGGCACCAGCGTGTGTGTGTGTGTGTGTGTGTGTGTGTGTGTGTGTGTGTGTGTGTGTGTGTGTGTGTGTGTGTGTGTGTGTGTGTTCCTCTGTTTAGCTGAGCTGGTGACTGTGTGGTAGAGCAGATCAAGGCCAGCAGCTCTTAAGATGAATTAACCATCTACCTCCACACCACAGCCGGCTGTACCTCCAAGACTAATGGTGTCTTTAACCTTGAGCCTGCACACACACACACACACACACACACAAACACACACACACACACACGGTCTCCTCCCCTGCCACATACTTCATAATTAGAGCTACTTTTAGTTTCGTACCTCAGCACACACCCTGAAATAATACATCGCCGCTCGGGTTTTCGTATCGCACATCGGCTCATATAGTCTATATAGGGTTGGTAAATCTATGTAAAGCTCTAATAAAGACTGTTTATCCCTCTTGCTCTTTCTTACACTCCCTTCTCCTTCCCATACTCCGTCTCCCTCTCTTCCTGTTCTACTTGGCGAAGTGCAGCTTGGACGTGAGGGGCCTCTTGGCGGGCGCGAGGCTGAGAGATGTGGCTCATGTTAAAAACCTGACTCTCTGTTATAAACACGTCACTGGAAATTACCCTGTCATGGTGCGCCAGGTGTGTTTCAGACAGAAGAAAACAATGTGTCCGTGTGTGTGTGTGTGTGTGTGCACAGAAGCGCACGTCTTGCCCATTCAGAGGAATTCAGCAGCGTGTGCACCTTTTTTCTTTTTAGATGCGAGCGAGTGTTTTCTGCGTGCGGGAGGTTTTTTTATTTTCATTGGCGCCCAATGAAGTGCGTAGCTGGAGTAACATGACACGGGAGGTCGTCTCTCTCAGTATCCAGAGCAAAACATTGATTGTGACATTTTCCCCAATTTTAAAAGACTCAAATGGAAACCAGACGTTGAATGAAACCTGGTCGCCATGAGAACAATGTTTTTACAAATTCTTTTATTTTGTTCCCCTTGGCTACAGTCAGCAGCCGAGCTAACACGCTGCAGAAACACACATACTCACGCTGCGTGCACAAACAGGGCGCAGACACACAAGGACAATATACACAGGGGAGAGTGGCGGGAACAAAAAAAAAAAAAAGGGAGAAATAAGGAAGTGAGTTTAGGACAGTGTGCAGGACCGGTCTGTGCAGCACAGCGCCCGACCTCCATGACAGCCTCCTTCTGGGAACTTAGTTAAAGAGCATCTTCAGGAAGCGGTCTTCCTCCGACGACTTCACACAGTAGATCCATTTTTCTATTCTGTGTTTCCTGTCAGCGCTGGTGGACTCTGAGCCGTCTTTAGAGTGTCATCAAACCTCCATGAAACAATGACGCAGCGGTTTGTTGCATAATCCGTGAGGTGGATGTGAATCTTTATTTATGGGAATATTTAAAGGATGAAAGCCGGTGGTCAAACAGGAATTTAAGATGGAGAAACTTCAAGGTTAAAATCAATTTATCCCGGTGGAGTTTCTGTGGATTCGCTCACAGGGACAAAGTCATTTTTTTGTACTTCAGTTTTAAATGTGGTGAATGTTGACCTGACAACTGACTATACTGACCGCGAAATGGAGGGGAAAAAAAGAAAAGTTAGCATAGCTTAGTAGCTAAGATACAGTAGTTGTTGTTGGACCATTCAGTTTGATTTAAGCTCCTCTGTCGGAGTAAATACAGCTCCACGGAGTGAAGACAGAGGAGAAGACGGTACAGTTACATCTCTTGAATAAACTTATCAACTTGTTGTCCCGTTAATGAGTAAGCTAAGCTAACAAGCTTGCTAACTGACCGTGATCAAGCTCGTTAGCTCACACTGCTTTTTTCTGACAGCCGAATGATCAGGGCAAATGAGCTCAGCTGCCCTGAGCAGCGAGCCGTGGTTTGCTGCGTATCATTCTGGTATTCTCTCACCCCACGTTTCCTGTCCGTCTCAATAAAGGCATAAAATAATAATAATAATAATAATAATAATGATGATGATGATGATGATAAAAAGTATTAAAAATAAAAGCACAGTAACCTCAGAGAGCTCACCAGCTGCTGCAGGTATTTTATATTTACCGTGTTTCTGGCACAAAATACAAAGACGTGCAGATGATTCTCTCTGTGCCACTTGCTGATGTGACGAGGCTTTAAGGCTGAAGATGTTTCACTGTTTTTACTGTCAGCGAAACCTCTGGAACGACCGTCAGCAACGACACGTCGGTCTGTCTCTTTGTACTCTCTGACTGTGACTCTGAGCTCCTCAGTTCAACTGATTCCTACTGAAGACGTAATAATAATATGTGACTGTTAATAATATAAGATTTGGTGACTTCACCGTCAGCACCAGGACCTCTCTCTCTCTCTCTCTCTCTCTCTCTCTCTCTCTGTCTCTCTTCTTTAAAAATAGATCATCGCACACTTCAGGGCCCAGAGACATAAGACACATCAGACGTCGACTCCCCAGACAGAACTTGTTAATCGGATCAGCTCATTGTTGGGTCGTTGGATTTGTTAACAATAAGAAAAATGCAGAACAGATGAAGACAGCAGAGCTCGAACAGACTCGTCCAAGTATAAAGTCTGAACCAGGTTTTTAGTTTTGGAGGCAGGAAGAAGTTTCGTTTCGTCCGTGTGTTTGTGTTTACGACTTTCTCATCCCTGTGTGTGTCTCTGCGTGTGACATGAACTCTCACACTCACACAGCGTGTCTGTGTATTGTTGTCTTAGGGTATGGTTTTGATTAAAAGCCTGAACAGTATTTACCCAAGAAACTGGTTCTGCTTATTGCAGAGTGGGAAACGAGCTCTTAAACCAAACGCTCCGCAGCACCGACACCACACGGGGGAACGGACCGGATTGGTCGGGAGCCGCGCAGCGCAGGCGGAAGAGACGACGGGATTGGATAAGGGTCTCACTGATCTCCTGAAACCTTCCGTCCCATTGGCCGCTGCCAGACAGTCTGTGGTGTACTGGGGTGGTGTGTGTGATGTGTGCAGGTTGTAAATAGCTCAGAGCAGTTAATGTTAATTCCTTGTTCAGTTGTGGCAAAAAACTACATTGATGCTGGTAAGAGAGCAAAAATGAGAGTTCCTCAGACTAGTTTATGGATTTGTTTCCTGTCAGTCTCGGTGGCTTTTGGTTTTCTTTGCTGCAGAATGAGCCCTTCCTCCCTCTTTCGAAGTTTTTCATCTCTTCTCTCAGTATCGGGGTTCAGTAAATCAAGAAAGAAAACAGGCCAGCCAGCTAATCTTCACCCCAGGACATGTAGCCTGCTCGGGATGATGGATCGTGTTTGTCCGTACTTATGTTGGTGTGTGGGTGTTCAGCTCCAGTAGTGAAACTGTCCCCGGCGTTGATGATGGTGATTTACCAGCTGCAGTGACAGAGGGAAAGAAAAAAAAAAGAAGAAGGGTCACGAAAAACATTTAGGGCGAGATGTGAAATTGAACTGGAGTCCCAGTGGTTTCATGTCCCGTCCTTCTCCCTCTGCTTCAGACAACACACTGGGTTTGTTATTCATCCTGTCCATGGGGTGTGTGCTGCGCAGGGCAAGGAAGAGGAGAGCAGTGGGAGAGTCGGACCTCCCTAACGCCGCTGTTTGGGTTGGCACGGCAACACGGGCCGGTCGAGGGACTTGAAAGGAATCACACAAAACTCTGGCCACCAACTCTTCGTCTTCCTACTTCTCAAACTTTTTCTTGTTGTTGTTTTTTTTAATTTCCTTTTCCATTTCTCTCTCTTTCTCCCTTCTTGTCTCTTTTCACCTCCCTAACCCCCCACCCCCCCCACCCCCCAGGCCCTAAAGCACCACACTGGTTGCTGGGGGGAAGTGAAGCATAAGTTAGTCTAATGATCGCGCCTGATTAAATATATTTCCCCTGTTACACTGTGTTTATGAAATTAGTCCCAATTATTTTTAATTGGTGGTCTTTCTTTACTTCCTCCCCCTGTTGCACAAACACACACGGACACATTCACATGTGTCCAGATATGATGTGAAAGCCGCAGACCCCGGGGTGAGCAAAGCAGCCGGTGGCGTTGCTCTCCCTCCTTCACTTCATCAGATAAGCTGATGACATGGAGCTCAGGCTTTAATTAACAGAGGCTCATCAGCCGCTGACTGCCGGGCCAGACGGGCCTGGTGAACAGGCGGGGGCCACACACAGAGTCGCGATCAGACCCCCAGACTCGCTCTGCTCCCAAGTCAGCAGTTACACACAGCGGTCGGGTCTCCATACTGTCGCCTGGTTTCCTCCCATACATCCCACTCTCTTCTTTCTTTCCTCTGTCTGGACCCAGAGGACAGCGGGTGACAGGGAGGATAAATGGCTACAAACTCAGAAGTACAATAACAACATGGATGTGGATAATATAGATGGTAATATACATGTGGAAAACTGCAGGTCTCCTGTCGCCCTTGTTAAAATAATATATAATATGGGGCGTCGAGTGGCGCAGTGGGTTGAGCAGGCGCCCCATGTGTAGAGGCCACAGTCCTCGCTGCAGTCGGCCCCGGTTTGAGTCCCGCATCTGACGGCCCTTTACTGCAGGTCATTCCCCCTCTCTCTGCCTCCCCATTTCCTGTCTCTCTCTACTGTGCTATCATAAAGGCATAAAAAGCCCAAAA